CCCAGGGTTGACTGTTGAGGGCCCATACTAAGGGCCCATGGTTGCAACCTTAGATAAAGGGGTCCCCCTTAACTACGAGGCACTTAGGACCCCTACTAAGGGTTAACCCTGAATTACCTATAATGGGAATATAAGGGAATCCCAAAGGGTTAAGGGTCTAAGGTCCAAGCTAAGTCCCATGGAGTTCATTTCTTATAGGGGTATGTCCGTTGGGCCCTAGGGTATGCTGAATGTTTCTTAGGGGGTCCTAAGGCACAGCTAAGCTTCTCGTGGCAACGTGAAAATGCCTTAACTTTCCCAAACGGACATTTCACCCCAAGAAGCAATGCCGCCCTCAAAGACTACTAACCATGTAAAGGAGGCGTTATGTTTCTTTTTCATGTCATTTGGCGCGGGTTTATCCCTCAACTACGAAAACAAAAGCCGAAGCTCGATTAATCCCTAGATACCCTAGATCCCTGACGAAGGGGTTGGGGAAGGGAACCATGTGCATTCGAAGCCCAATTGCCTGGCATGGCGATCGAAAAGCACGATGTTCTCATTCTTGTGCAGCATGTATTCCTCAAAGGTTCGAGGGGTGTCGCAAGGCGAAGACTACTTCGGCACGCTTGCAGACCGTGGCGTCGGGATTATGAGGAGTGCCGGGGTTCCTGCAGTAGCATTAGCTACCTATGGAGGCTCAACCCGAAGCACTACACCCGTAAGCCTAAATTCCGAACCCTCAGTCCCTTAGCCATGATACCATGCCCAGCTTGACTCCGTAGAAGCCACCACCGATGATGGCCACGGGGTGCTCCCAAGAGTGTCGCGCATGTTGGAAGTCCTACCATGGTAGCCAAAACGGTTTAGGGTTTGGGGTTGAAAGCTGGTGTTCTCTGTAACACACGCGACAAGGGAACAATCTGCTCCTACTATTAAAAACCAACCAGAAACCAAATAAATGATAATGTACACAATGGGCATATCTAATATTGGCGGGGGCAATAAATATTCGGGGGAAGAGATTACAGGATATCGCCTGTGAATCAGGGTTTTCCTTACAGCATGCCAGGATTATGTTTGGCGTCAAAGAGCTTGGTCACTAGCATCGCTGAGGGAACCAGTAAAGCATGCCCCCAAGCAGCTATTATTCAGAGCAATGGCAATGTAGAATGCCGCAGGAAGAAAATGCAGGCTCACTGATCAAGCAGTGCCACATTCACAGTACCTGCCGCAACTACATACAGGATCACTGCCACCACTCACTTGGATTTAGGCTTAAAGCCTAAGCTTGATTGAAGTACATTTCTGAAGTCCTGCCTCACTAGCTTCTGGTTCAAATGATGCTGGGCCTGGGGGCTTTTGCTAGACCGGGGAATGGGGTAGATACATCACAGTGTACGCCCCGGGCTAGAACAGACACCAAATGTAAGGGCTCTAAACCCTAAGCCCTAAA